CTCCTAAAGAGCCGGAACAGCTGAGGAAGCTCTTCATTGGAGGGTTGAGCTTTGAAACAACTGATGAGAGCCTGAGGAGCCATTTTGAGCAATGGGGAACACTCACAGACTGTGTGGTAATGAGAGATCCAAACACCAAGCGCTCCAGGGGCTTTGGGTTCATCACGTATGCAACTGTGGAGGAGGTGGATGCAGCCATGAATGCAAGGCCACACAAAGTGGATGGAAGAGCTGTGGAACCAAAAAGAGCTGTCTCAAGAGAAGATTCTCAAAGACCAGGTGCCCACTTAACTGTGAAAAAAATATTCGTTGGTGGCATTAAAGAAACACTGAAGAACATCACCTAAGAGATTATTTTGAACAGTATGGAAAAATTGAAGTGATTGAAATCATGACTGACAGAGGCAGTGGCAAGAAAAGGGGCTTTGCCTTCGTAACCTTTGATGACCATGACTCCGTGGATAAGATTGTCATTCAGAAATACCATACTGTGAATGGCCACAACTGTGAAGTTAGGAAAGCCCTGTCAAAGCAAGAGATGGCTAGTGCTTCATCCAGCCAAAGAAGTCGAAGTGGTTCTGGAAACTTTGGTGGTGGTCGTGGAAGTGGTTTCGGTGGCAATGACAACTTTGGTCGTGGAGGAAACTTCAGTGGTCATGGTAGCTTTGGTGGCAGCTGTGGTGGTGGTGGGTATGGTGGCAGTGGGGATGGCTATAATGGATTTGGTAATGATGGTGGTTATGGAGGAGGCGGCCCTGGTTACTCTGGAGGAAGCAGAGGCTATGGAAGTGGTGGACAGGGTTATGGAAACCAGGGCAGTGGCTATGGCGGGAGTGGCAGCTATGACAGCTATAACAATGGAGGCGGAGGCGGCTTTGGCGGTGGTAGTGGAGGCAATTTTGGAAGTGGTGGAAGCTACAATGATTTTGGCAGTTACAACAATTAGTCTTCAAATTTTGGACCCATGAAGGGAGGAAACTTTGGAGGCAGAAGCTCTGGCCCCTATGGTGGTGGCGGCCAACACTTTGCCAAACCATGAAACCAAGGTGGCTATGGCGGTTCCAGTAGCAGCAGTAGCTATGGCAGTGGCAGAAGATTTTAATTAGGGAACAAAGCTTAGCAGGAAAGGAGAGCCGGAGAAGTGACAGGGAAGCTACAGGTTACAACAGATTTGAGAACTCAGCCAAGCATAGTGGTGGCAGGGCCTAGGCTGCTACAAAGAAGACATGATTTAGACAAATACTCATGCGTATGGGCAAAAACTCGAGGACTGTATTTGTGACTAATTGTATAACAGGTTATTTTAGTTTCTGTTCTGTGGAAAGTGTAAAGCATTCCAACAAAGGGTTTTAATGTAGATATTTTTTCTTTTTCTTTTTGCACCCATACTGTTGATTGCTAAATGTAATAGTCTGATCGTGATGCTGAATAAATGTCTTTTTAAAAAAAAAATTGGTTCTATTAAAAGACAAAGTAGATAGCCCTCTAGCAGAGTGGATGAAAGAAAAAGCAATAACATTAGAAGTAAAAGGGGGAATATAATTATGAAGACAGTGGAGATTTTTTAAAAATCATAGAATGAGACTTGAAACTCTATGGCAGTACATTTAAAATAAGATATTTGAGAAAATACAAGTTATCAAAATTAATTCAAGAAGAAAGAGAAAAACTGAACAAACCAACAACCATCACAGAAGTTAAGATGGTAGCCAAAAATCTCCCCTGAAAAAAACATGGAAGACCCAGACAGTTATACAATAATTCACCAAGTCTTCATCAAATAGATAGTCCCTATCGTATACAAACTGTTTTGGAGAGTTAAAAAAAAGAGAGAGAGAGAAATCTATCTAACTCATTTCATGGAAATATACTACCTCCATTAAAAAGAAGGAAGTATAGCCAATGTATACACGTAAATATAATAACAAAACTAGACAAGAACAAAATAAGCTAAAATAAAAACCCTTAGAGTCAATTCACCTATGAAAATAAATGACAAAATTCAAAGTAAAATGCTAACAAATATAATTCATCAGCATATTAAGAAGCATACAACATGGCCATGACGTAGGGTTAATTCCAGAATACAAAACAGCACATCAGAACAACTTACCAAGGCTATCTACCCTTTTAATAAACTAATAGAGAAAAAACAGATAATAGATTTTTAATATGTTGAAATAGCATTTGATTAATTAAACACTCATTCAAGATTTTAAAAAAACAAAAAACTTTTCGCAAGGAATATAAGGGAATTTTCTTAACCCAATAAATGTTTCTGTCAAAACTTATAGCAAGCATCACATATGATGGTAAAATATCAGATTATTTTCAATTAGAGTTGGGAACAAGATAGGAGACCCCCTGTTTCCACTATTATGCAACATTGTAGTAGAGGTCCAAGCGAATGCAATAGGAGAGAGAGGGATAAAATAAGTTTAAGACTTGGAAAAGAAAAGGCAAGACTGCTATTTGCATGAGCTATGACTGACTACATAGAAGAATTTTAAAGACTGTAAAGAAAAGCTAATAGGACTAATAAAAATTTCAACAAGGTTACTGGTTCTAAGTATACAGAAGTCAATAATATTTCTATATCTCAGCAATAACCAATTAGAAAATGTAATAGGAAAAATAAACAACAGCAGCAATAAATATCTATAATGTAGCAGCAATTACTGTTTTAGAGAGGCAAGAGTTCTTTATGGAGAAAGTTACAAAACATGATTGAAGGGCATAAAAGGAGGCCTGACTAATGATCGCAGATGGGAAGATACAATACTTACAAGGATGTCTATTCTCCTCAAATCAAGCTATAAATTTAGTGTAATTCCAATAAAAATCTCAATGGATTTTTTTTCATGGGACTTAATAACTTAATTCTAAAATTCATCTGAAAGAGAAAAGGAACAAACGTAGTTTAGGCAATTTTAAACTACAATAAAACAGAGGGATTTGTCCCATGAAATAACAAGACATTACAAGGCCATAGTAAAAACCTATAGAAAGCAACATATGTTTGTCATGGACAGGCCTTGTAGTCTCAAAGTTCCTGCTGAATACATTACTACTTAGGAAGAAAGTAGTCCTAGGTGGGCCTTTTCTAAATATGATAAGCTTCTGTGACTTACATGTACCTATTGGGTGGAAACAGTTGTATACTTATTCATGACTGATCAGGACAGTGCCCAAGTTAACAGAACTGCAGAAGAGTTGTATACAATTGAAAGCCTCCCATACAGTGCTTTGGGACAATCTAGACTGAAGTGTCAAACTGACGCAGTAATGTCTTCTTTTGGAGGAAGAGTAAGTGCTAGGTAAACAAATAGAAAGTGGGTTACTTGAGCTCAGGTAGGATCCTTAAAACCCTAAAATATTGTTCTTATTCTCCCTTAGGGCAGCTGTTCATTTCAATATTGGGAGGCAAGGTCCCAGGGTGGCTATATAACCAAAGAAATGACTGTCCTTGCTACCCCATGTTCCTGGATCTCCTTGCCAATTAAATTAATTCACATAGCACTCTGTCTCTTCCTTGCAGCCTTAACAAGACTAACAGGAAGATCCAAGTTTGATGGGGCCTCATTTATATATAATTTGGAGGAGGCTTCTTTAAGAAAAATTATACAAAATTTCAAATATAATTAGATATAAATGAGAAAAATCACAATAAATTATAAATTTAAAACATAAACATCACAAAATGAAAAATATAGAAGAAATAAAATATTTGTGCTAGTTTTCTGAAATACCTCTATATTTTTTCCTATATATTTTGGCTGCATACACTTTGTTTACCTCTTCAGATAAGATTTTTGTAATATTGTGTTCTATAGAGGAAAAAGCAAGATAATGCAGTGGGTTTTTGATTTACCTTTCTTACAGTTTCTATATCCACCAGTTCATCTTCTGTTCCTGGAAACCCTGCCCTATTCACATAACCCAACCACCCCTTTTCATTTGCCCTCCTTCACTTCACCACATTATCCCCCTTCTTCCAGCCAAACACAGGTATATATACTTCATCCTTGTAACCTATGGCCTGATAAATTCTGTTAGGAGATTTCTTGGAGAAGTAAAGGTCTTCAAAACAGGAAACATTCATTGATGAAATGACAACTTGTGAAATTGTTCCCCACCTAAATTGTCCAATCTTTTTAACCTTCGTGCCTACACCCACTTCTATCAAAGTCCTGGTCATTCATTTGGAAATATCCAGCCCTCAAATACAACTGAAATCTATTGCAAAGTAAAAGTGCAAATCTTGCAAAAGATGTGGAGTTTCATGGCCTTGAAAGCGATGTTAGTAAACTGCTAGATCCACATATAAAGTCATTAATAAACGAGGACCTCACAGAGTTGGACCAGATAACAAACGAAAAAGAGAAAATCAATGAGAACAATGTTGACATCAAACTTCAAAAGGAAATAATCTGATTTCAAAGGATTAAGAGAGGACCTTCGGAAAACTAGATAAACGCCTCCAAAACTTTTGCAAATATGACCCTGCTGAAAAAATCAAATGCACTGGGATGGATAATGAGCCATTTAAAAAATTATGTTCCTCCTCCAAAACAACATTTGAGTTGTCAGAATTAGCACATACTTGCAATTGTAACCTAATGTGTTAAATATAAGATAAATTCATTTTCATAATTTGTGGTTAAATTTTTTTCCATATAAAGTTCAAGTCTTTTTCTTTCACTCTTTCACTATGGCATCTACGTCTCTATCTTTAATGGATTCACTCTAAGAGGGCCTTTTCTGGTACCAATTATCTTTGGAAAAGAAAGACCTTTCGTATTCATCTCTGTTTTACAAACATGTAATATATTTTAATACCACCGCCCCCCACTGGAAATTGTAAAATATACAGACTCTTGGGTTCCTCTGCCAGACCAATTTTGAATCTCCACGTGGAGAATGCGAACTAGGAGCTGAAAAGAAATTCCATATTTTAATTTAGTAATTATTTTTACTTCCACTTTTTTTTTTTATTAGAGGTGCAGTCTCACTATGTTGCCTAGGCTGGACTTGAACTCCTGGGATCAAGGGATTTTCCTGCCCCAGTCTCTCCAGTAGCTGGGACTACAGGTATATGCTACCACATCCGGCTAACCTCCCTATTTTTAACACTTATCATAAGCAATACTCGTGATAATCAGGCAAGTGTAGTGATAACCACTTTAACTCATCCAAAGCTTTCTCTCTTTACAGTAACCTTAAGAAATCTTCTTTAACCTTGTCAGCTGGTTTTGAGGTAGGAGGCAGGACTCTGGCACCGCACCAAATTGAGCACTAGCCTAAACAGGGAGGCGGTGGAAGCCGCTTTCCATCAGATACGCCCACCAGTGTGTCAGTTCATCATTGCCATGGCAACACTCAGGAGTTACCGCCCCTTTCCAGGGCAATGACCCGATGAGCGAAAAGTTACTACCCCTCTCCTAGAAATGACTGCATAAACTGCCTCTTAATCCGCATGTTATTAAAAGTGGGAATAAATGTGAGTATAAATGTGACTCAAAGCTGGCCTGAGCTGGTGCTTTCGGCCTCTGGGGTAGCCTATTCTACAGGAGCAGTCACGGCTGTGACACCACCACAGCTGTAACACGGCCTCTTCAATAAAGTTGTTTTCTTCTACCTCCGAGTTGCCCTTGAATTCTTTCCTGGGCAAAGCCTAGGCCTTTCCTGGGCCAAGGACTCTGGCTGCCTAAGTCCCACTTTGGGGCTTGCCTACCCTGCATCAGTTCGAACTCACCGGACTCATTTCTTTATCCTTTTATTTTTTTACATGCTCTCCTTCCTAGATCAGTGTCTTATCTATACAGGTTTTTGAACCTTTATGTAGTCTTTAGAATTTTATAACCTGCTCCTGCTTCGTATTGTCTTATTTTCTTAACATTTCAAAACACCTCTGAACACGTCAGAACTTTTTTTTTCTCCTTTAAAATTGAGTCTGAATAACTCATCTTGTGTTCATTTTTTTCTACATTCCCTCAGCCTGCATTCTCATGAATCCATTTTGCTCTATATTCATCTGGACATTAGACTACTTTGCAAATACTATCATTTCTGCCTATTCTTTCTGTACTGCGTGATTGTCAGCTCCTGGAAGACAAACACCCATCTTCCATTTTGTCTGGATTTCCCCAACTGAGCCTAAAAGATTGACTTAACACCGACTAGTGTGCTGTGTGCTTCACGCAGTGGGTGCTTAATAAATATTTTAAAACAATATTAAAATGTTGAATATATTTGACAGCAGTGCTGCTCCTCATCATTTCAAATGCCAACACTTTCTAGGTCCCTTTTCTGTCTAGCAACCATTTCCCAACATACCTACATGCCCCCAGACGTTTCAGGAAAGCTGGGGCTCTTTTTTGATCCATCTTTCTTTGCCCCAGTTAAGGAAATATTGTTTACATTTTCCCCCTTAGGAGTATCTTATTGGTACTCAAAGACCCTACCACGAAACCTGAAGTTGCTTTTTCTCCTTGGTAATTAGGGGAGAGGGAAAGACAGCAGGGATAGAGAAGGTTTTATTTCCTATTACTTCAGTTTTCACCCCAGATCGTCGTTTACAATAAGATACAATGCCCCTATGAGTATTTTCATACCTGTAAGGATGTTTTTCATTCTTTGCATCTGAAGAGCGCTAAGGATTTTAGGCAAGAGGTTTCAGTATTTTAACTAAGATATTGTTTTCTCATGAGCTTTATTCAACACCTCATTTTCTTCTTAATCTCCTATAGTCAGTCAGGCTACATTTCTCTAGTAACATCATTTTTCCTATTAATCATTATTTCGTACCTGTGAAAAATAAGCTTACACTTAATGTATGAATCTAGCATGGTAATGTACAGAAAAGCTTATTCTCTTCTTCTGGGGTAGGGAATTCCGTTTTGCAAAGCACTTTGCCATCTATTTGTTAGCTTATTTAATCCTCACAACAACTTTGCTAGGTGGACAGAACAAGAGTCATTATCTCCAGGATAAGGAAAAGGAAACTCAAGAGACGTTAAGTGACTTATCCAAGGTGATACAGCACGGATAGACGCATACTGAAAACCCGAACTTCTGACTCCACAGGCACTCCCACACAGCTCAACTTTACATAATAGGCCCTGGTTATGTCAGTAGAGAGAAGGCTGCTAGGAAGAAGCAGCAGGGTGACAGATGGGTAGGTGGGGAGCGGCGGTGGGGCGCGGAGCATTGCTCGAAGACCACTCACCGCAGGCGCAAATCACTGTGCGAGCGCCAGCAGGTTCAGGAAAGTAGGAGAAAGAGGCGGAGCTCTTTGCTAATACCGTCCCCCTGCCTCTGTTACCGCGCAGGCGCACTTCCTGAAGCTGAAGGTCAAAGGGACTCCGAATCGCGCAGGCGCACTTCCTGAAGCTGAAGGTCAAAGGGACTCCGAATCGCGCAGGCGCGGTTGTGCCTTGGGGGTGCCAAGATGTCGTTCCCAAAGTATAAACCGTCGCGCTTCGCCACTCTGCCCCAGACCCTCGACCCAGCCGAATATGACATATCTCTGGAAACCCGGCGGGCGCAAGTCGAGCGGTTGGCCATTAGAGCCCGGCTGAAACGAGAGTACCTGCTTCAGTACAACGACCCCAACCGCCGAGGACTCGTCGTGAGTGGGGGTTGCGGGGGGGCCTTCCTGGCAAGAATAGTGCCCGAGTCCTGGAAGGGACCGACAGAGACCACGCAGCGGGGCGGCCACCGCTTTCGATCAGTATCTCAGACGCAGGTCCTCTTCCAGGCACAGAGAACAGGCCAAGTCACTACCCTTTGACCTGTGTAAGAGGTTGGCCCTTGAGAGAACCGGCTATGGACTCAGACCTGGCTGTGTTTGAATCCTGGTTTGATCACTTCCCGCCTGCATGACTTTGAGAAAGTTATTCACTCTGCTTATCCTCGATTTTCTGTCTGCAAAAGGGGCGTAATATAGTGCCTACTCTTTGTCAGGCTGTGAAGATTAGATGAGATAGAGCATGTGACTGGCCTAGCACAGTGCCTCATTCGTAAGGCATGTTCAGAAAATGTTTATATATATAAAATATTAAAGAGCTGGCGTTTACCTTTCATTTTACAGTTCGTTTGGATACTGCTCTCTTCTGATGGGAATACAGTGATTCCTTCAACCTGTGTCTTTTAAAGACCCTGCAGCTTTTTGAAGTTCTAGGCTTTGGAGTCAGACCCCAAGGCACTACTCATTGGCTAACTCTATTACCTTGGGCAACTTTAACTCCTCTGAATTATAGTTTCTTGATTTCATATAGAAAAGATGTGCATTCTTCGTAGAATTATGAGGTTAAATAAGGTAGTCAGTCAGTTTAACATTCTCAGCACATAATATATGCCCAGTAAACTGGGAGTTAACAGGTGTGCTTTTATTAGTTTTCTATACAGGAACTGTCTGAGTAGGTTAAATACGATGTTAACAAAACAAGACTTTTCCCACACGTTGCATTGGCGTTTGGAATTTTTGGAAGTTATGAGGATTGAATGAAAGTTACAGTGTGCCAGGTACTGTGCTAAACTCTTTTTGAGTATTACTTTATTTACATATCACAACTATTTGGATAATTAAGCTCTACCACAGTCCCCATTTTACAGATGAGAAGACAACATGGGAAGGACAAATAGGTCATACAGAGATATCCCCTTAGCAGGTGATAGAGCAAAATTCTAACCCCGGTTTGTATAACCCACAGCATCTGCTTTTAACTAGTTGCCTGTACTGTCTCCAGCCAGAACCGTGTTAACTTGGGAAGAGGGTGCAGACACATTTATTATAAACTCACATGATTGGGTTTGATGTGTTAGGTAGTGTGATGTATTAAAAAAGAATAAGGTCTCAGACAGACCTGAAAGTGAAACCTAGATCTTCTATTTTCCATCTCTCTGCCTCAGAGTAGTTTCATTTTCTCATGTGTAAATAAAGGTAATACTACCTGTCTCTTTGGTTTTGTTGATTAAATGAGTGGGTGACACCATCATTTATCAATCAGTACATGTAAATTCTCTTGCCTAATCTTTTTTTTTCTTGAGACAGGATCTTACTCTATCACCCAGGCTGGAGTGCAGTGGTGCAATCTCAGCTCACTGCAACCTCTGCCTCCTGGGCTCAAGTGTCCTCCTACCTCAGCCTCCCAAGTTCCTGGGACCACAGATGTGCACCACCATGTCTGGTTAATTTTTTGTATTTTTTATTGAGATGGAGTTTCATCATGTTGCCCAGGCTAGTCTTGAACTCCTGAGCTCAAGCGATCCTCCTGTCTCTGCCTCTAAAGTGCTGAAATTACAGGCTGGAGCCACTGCACCTGGCCGTCTTGTCTAATCTTTAAGAATAATTGATTGAGTCAGTAGATAATTACTCAGGGTCTATTATGGCCCTATTTTATACTCGAGGTAACAATGGAGATCAAAACAGGCAAAAATTCCTGTCCTTGTAGTAAGAACTTTCTAGTGGGGGAGACAAGAAACAAGTTAAAAAATTAAAATTATTTAACATGTTAGGTAGTGGTAACTGATAAGAAAAAAAATAAAGCAGGGGAGATTCAGAGTGTGTGTATGTTGTAGGGTAGGTAAGCAGCTACAATTTTAGACAGGCCCAGGGAAAGCCTCTGGCAGTGGCATCTGAAAGAAATGGGGTGAGGGAGCTAGCTCTCTGGGAAAGCAGTGTACTAGTCAAAGGGAAAGGCAAGTGCAAGGGCTGTTAGGCAGGAGAGTGTCCAGTTAGTTGAAAAAATACTAGAAAGACTATCGTGGCTAACGTGGAGAAAGGTGAGGGCAGAGTGGGACGAGATCACGCCAGGCCTTGTACGTCATTTTAAGGACTTAGACTGAATAGGGAGTTTCATGATCTGGACTTAACAAGTTCTCTCTGGCTGCTTAGTTGAGAATTGACTATGGGGGAAAGGACAGGATCAGGGAGAGTAGGAGGCTTTTGTAGTAATCCATCTCTTAGTTGAGTTGCCACCAGGGTGGTGGCAGAAGGTGGTGAGAAATGATAGATTCTGGGTGTATTTTGAAAGTAAAGCCAACCAGGTTTGCTGATAGATTGGATATGGTGTATGAAAGAGGAGAGTCAAGGATGACTCTAAGGTTTTTGACCAAGTGATTTTAAGAATGAAGTTGCCTTTTACTAAGAAACAGGAATGTGATGAGAGGAGCAGGTATGAAGGTGGAGTAGACTATTGGGAAATCAGTTTGGGATATGTGACATTTTAGATGCCTGTTAGACCGTATGTCAGAGTTGAGCAGGTGGTTGGATATTAAGTCTGGAGTTCAGGGTAGAGGTATAGGGCTGGAGGTAAAATTTTGGGAATCATCAGCCGCTAGATAGATATGTAAAGTCATCTGACTAGACAGCATCATCTAGAGAGTAAATGTAGATAGGAAAGGCCAGCAAGACCAAGGTCCAATTTTAAGAGACTGGGGAGATGAGGCGGAAAAGAGCAAAGAGATGAAGAGAGAATGGCCATAGAGTTAGCAGGAAATCCAAGCAGGTGTGGGCCTGGAAGTTTCACATGAAGAAATGATTTCAGGAGTTTTCACCATTTCAGATGCTGCCAAGAGTCCATTGGACTTTTAGTGATATCAAAAGAGGAAAACTCTCTCCCATGGTGTCTTTTGGAACCTCTCTTAATAACATTACTGGGCTTAATGAACTATGGTCATGGGGCAATTGGTATATGAAATGAAATGTCTGTATCTGGAAGAAAGATCTGGCAGATACTAGGCACAGAGAGGTGACTAGGAGATTGAGATGTCTGCCATTGGATAGTCATTCAAACACATTGATAGCAGAAAGGATGTAAGAATAGATGCATGAATCCTTTTGGGTATTGAGCTTTAACATCCCCTTGGACCTACATCTTGTGTCTTTACCCTCTTTATTCTTTTTGGTAATATAGGCAATAATAATAATGCTGCAGAACACTTACATGTGCTTTCACTTTAATGTGGTATGATAACATCAATAGTTTCTAGAACAGCTGAATATATTTTGGGACTTTGAATCTAGTAGTGAGTGCTTATACCCTTTCAGTCTGATTGAAAGGAACAGGAACATTTCCATCATAAGACTTTTTTGTTTTTTTACTTCTAAGCTGCAGCTGATTATCTCAGGATAAAATAGTTATAATTTAGTTTAGTTTGAAATAAGACGGTGGAAGACCTAGTTAAATTATTTTAGTCCTGCAAATCATGACTTCTTGATGTTGGTTAGGACCTTGAATATTCATGTCATAAAGTCTTAAAGCTGATTTTATTTGCTTATTTTTATCTGTAGTTAATTGGAGAGACTAATTTTGTAAAAATCACTTGGGGATTTAGCTAATTAAATTTGATTATGTGTTTGGGGGTGGATTTGCCATTCATGGATAGTTATTCTAGTATAAATATATTAAAATGGACAATTATTTTCTTTTTTGTTCTTTTTTCTTTTTATTGTTGTAGACAACTATTTTCTTTACCAAGACCAGTCTGATTATTATTTTAACAATTTTGACCTCTCTACAAAACTTTTAATAGTGTGAAATGTCTGAATTAATGCTTTTAAAATATCAGTCAAGTCAGCTTAAAAAACTTAACAGTTCAGCTAGTCTACCCCCTGAGCTTCTTTTTGCCTTGAAAGACTATTTTGGGGATAGCATTAGAAAGGGTCCTGGAAACAAAATACAAAGCATGATAGAGCATATGAAATCTGTTTTTCTTCATTTGGAATATTGCATGGTCCATTCACACTAGGCAATGAAGCTAAAAGCAGTCCAGAGAAGAGTAGATAAAAATGATAAAGGAGAAAAAGTGGCTTATCTGACAGTTTAAAGATTAGGATTCTTAAATAAACAGAAAGCTAATTGGTGATATGAGTCTTCTACATTCTGAAGGATTTGAACAAGATCATTAGAATTCAAAAAACACTAGACATGAAAGGTCTTTCCAGAAGCTGTTTAGGAATATTCATGGCACATCCTTAACTGTTACAGAGAACAAAAGGCATCTGTGCTCCTTCACAAAAGTCCTGGTGAATTTGTTTCTCAATTGATCCTTCTTAAGTTTTGTAACTTTTTGTTTTCATTAATTTTAGGTAAATCCTGCCTTGGTTCGTTGGGCCTATGCAAGAGCAAACGTCTATCCTAATTGCAGAGCCACTCCTAAAACCTCACTACTGGGAGCTGTGTTTGGAATTGGGCCCCTCATCTTGTGGTATTATATTCTCAAAACTGACAGGGTAAGTATTCAGAGCAGATGTTTATTATTCGAGTGATAGGTTCCCTCGCTAGGGGCCAGCTGCAGTTCTTTCTCATGACTGCCACCAGTGCCCCTCCCACCTTGGGGGCTGTATGCTGCT